AGTAATATATTTACTGAGAAAAATGTTGACGTGTTCAATACTTATTTTACCCGCTGTATATTTGGACACTGACACAAATTTAGTCTTTTTACCTGTTTACTGAAACATATTCAAGTTATAGTTATATAATGTACATGGACATAAAGTCCAGACATTCAGCTTTCGTCCACAGTAAAATTGGATGAAGGGTTTAGGAGTTTCAGCTCTTTAACATGTGCCACCCTGGTTTTAAAGGGGCCGAATGTAATTGGACAGTTGACTCCAAGGCTATTTCATGGACAGGTGTGGGCAATCCCTTCGTTATGTCATTCTCAATTAAGCAGATAAAATGTCTGGAGTTGATTTGAGGTGTGCTGCTTGCATTTGGAAGGTTTTGCTGTGAAGTAAACATGYGGTCAAAGGAGTTCTCCATGCAGGTGAAACAAGCCATCCTTAAGCTGCAAAAACAGAAAAAAACATCAGAGAAATTGCTACAGTATTAGGAGTGGCAAAATCTACAGTTTGGCACATCCTGAGAAAGAAAGAAAGCACTGGTGAGCTCATCAATGCAAAAAGACCTGGGTGCCTACAGAAGACAACAGTGGTGGATGATGGCAGAATAATCTCCATGGTGAAGAGAAACCCCTTCACAACAGCCAACCAAGTGAACAACACTCTCCAGGAGGCAGAAGTATCAATATCAAATCTACTATAAAGAGAAGACTGCATGAAAGTAAATACAGAGGGTTCACTGCACGGTGCAAGACACTCATAAGCATCAAGAATAAAAAGGATAGACTGGACTTTGGTAAAAAAAAAACATCTAAAAAAGCAGCACAGTTTTGGAAGAACATTCTTTGGACAGATGAAACCAAGATCAACCTCTACCAGAATGATGGAAAGAGAAAAGTCTGGTGAAGCTGTGGTGCAGCTCATGATCCAAAGCACCACATCATCTGTAAAACACAGCAGAGAAGTGTGATGGCTTGGGCATGCATGGCTGCCAGTGGCACCGGGCCACTAGTGTTTATTGATGATGTGACACAGGACAGAAGTAGCCCAATGAATTCTGAGGTATTCAGAGCCAGACTGTGTGCTCAGATCCAGACAAATGCAGACAAACTGATTGGTTGTTACTACAGATGGACAATGATCCAAAACATAAAGCCAAAGCAACCCAGGAGTTTATTAAAGCAAAGAAGTGGAATATTCTTGAATGGCCAAGTCAGTCACCTGATCTCAACCCAGTTGAGCATTTCACTTGTTAAAAGCGAACTTCAGACAGAAAGGCCCACAAACAAACAACTGAAAACCACCACAGTGAAGGCCTGGCAGAGCATTAAAAAGGAGGGAACACAGCGTCTGGTGATGTCCATGAGTTCAAGACTTCAGGCAGTCATTGTCAACAAAGAGTTTTCAACCAAGTATTAGAAATGAACATTTTATTTACAATTATTTAATCTGTCCAGTTACTTCTGAGCCTCTGAAATGAAGGGATTGTGTTTAGAAGATGCTTTAGTTCCTCACATTTTATACAATCATTTTGTTCAACCCACTGAATTAAAGCTGACAGTCTGAACTTCATCTGAATTGTTTTGTTTAAAATTCATTGTGGTAGTGTCTAGAACCAAAATTAGAAAAATGTTGTCTCTGTCCCAATAAATATGGACCTAACTGTATACTGTTTCAATATAAACATCTTAAACAAACCATGACCTCATTTCAGGCCCTGTGGGTCAAGATAGGAAAAWAACTGAGAAATTCCAGCAGATCTGTTAATAAACGAAGGAACGGAGACCTAAATAAGAGCTGAGAGTAGCTCCAACTTCTGCTAGTGGTCCCCCAGCAAGACCATGAGCAGCTGGGACCCCAGGCCAGCTGGGTGGCATCCACAGTAAGCAAAGTGCTAAAGCTAAGGACAAGCCCCCAGTCGACAGTAATGACACCTGGTTCCGCCAGTTGAAAGTCACAAAAATCAATATTGTTTTGGTTTGTAACTTTGCAAAATCTCTGTCGGACTCCATAGTTTTCCATGATCCCCTCTCATCCTAACCAGTGATGACAGATTTAGTTGTGTGATACTGTTTAACAGCTGGCTGTCCAGGTGGTGTCCTGAAAAGGTGGGTTACGTTGGTCCGATTTATCAACGAATACAACGTATAACACGACATGCTATCTCGATAGTGCACTAAAAGCTGATTCAAGCGTGCACAGCAAGGATCGAGTCTGTGAGATGAACAAGCCATGTAAAGTCAAGTTACAAAAACGTTCCTAGAACATGAAAATTTAGTCGTGACCCACTGTCCTGCATTTTCCAGCTGTTTCCCTGCT